GAACGTTCCTGTTTTCCTTCTTTCCTTTACTTATACCGTACTTTTCATTCGTACCTCATCTACGCAGGTCTGTGAGCCTCGCTGCTATGTCAAACTGTAAGGGCGGAGGTGACGACTTGGCAGTCTCCGGTTTCTACGACATGAAAGAAAACTGAAGCGGGCGGGACACAGAGAGGCAGGTAACCCATGCCTACCAAGTCTCAACGGAGGTTGTTGGCCTACCAAGCGATGATGCACTCGCTGCGCTGCAGCTCTCGAGTTGCGCTACCGAAAAGGAAAAGAAAAAGAAGGCCGCCCGCCTTTATGAAGAGAACGGCACGGCTAAATTCACACAGACGAAAAGCACCGCCGTGAAAGCGGAACGTCCGTTGGACCTCCCGCCCGCTGCAACCTCGACGCGGCAGCAGCAGCGGACAGACAACATCATCGGAAGAGCGAAAGTCGCCCAAACGGTGTTGGTGACCAGAGAAAATAAAAAACCAAGAGAACGGTGCATGTTGTCGGCGGCGATGGGACGGCTGCCGTGTTTCCGTGCACAAAGGCGGCCCATGCATGGTGCAGCCGCCACCAGAAAAGAGCGCACCGCGTCTTCGTCTTCCGCAAGTCTGCCTGACGCTCGAGTACGCGCCACGGAAACCATTCGTGAGGATCGAGAGACACCACTGCGCAAAACGAGGTGCACCACCCCTCGACGAATCTGTCAGGTGCATTAACCGACGTCCACGGACCGTCCTTGGGGGGGAGGGGGGGAGCGTAGACAAGCCAAGAGCCGTGGTCGAAGAGTCGAAAGCGCTGCGCTGTCCTGAGCCAAAGTTGGATTTTAGTACATTACGGGAAAGGCACGAAGGACTCCATCACGAGAGTGGTCAACGAGATGTCAGCGAACCACAGAAGCCCAACTCGGCAGTTCGGTGTTTTGGCCTCTGCGTGTCCTCGCTCATCTCGGCATGACGTATCGTACCCATGAGTGCTGCGGGAACAGGGCACGAAAAGAAGAAGGTGCTCTTCTGTCGGACGTGCAGGGGGCGCAGAAAGCAGAGGGTTCAGGTGTGCACAACGCATGCGGCGTCCAACAAACAGACGCGCGTCGCGCTGTGGGCAGTGGGCATCTGCAGAGCGGCCTCCCGGTCCGACGAGGTGGTCGCCTTCAGATGCGCAGGACGGACTGCAGGAGGTGCAATTCTCTGAGGAGAACAACTTTGCTGTACTGAGAGTCTCTGGCAAAAGAACGTTGATGCTTGCCTTTCAGTTGCAGACTGAGAAGGGATTATTAAAGAGGGGTGTCCTTCCAGTGCCACGGCATGTGCGCATCCCCGAGGACGTGTCCCGTCGACAGCCTTCCTGGGCTTCTGCGGCGTAAGGGGAGGTTATGGAGGTCTCCTCCGCGCAGCATACACTGATTAACGGAAGAGGGTGAGATCCGCCGCCCCGCGAGAATACCGAAAACACGAAAGCCAAAAGGGGAGGGATGATGATAACTAAAGCAACGCGCAGCATTAACTGCTTTTTAAAAAGGCACAAGGGATACACACCGCGGCAGACCCGGTAAACAAGAAAAAGCCGGCGAAGTGCCACAGAGAAGCCAAAACGCTCAGCTGTGACGGGGGGAACAAGATACGCGAACTCCACGTGAAAAGCGTAAAGCAAAACGTGAGGCGGCAGCAACTGCATCACAAGAAGCTGCGACTCCACCTTTTAAGAAGTGTTCCCTCACGTTACCTTTCATGCCAGACAGAGATGCTTGCATTTGAGAACTCCATACCGATCACGCCAGCGACCCTCTAAGCAGAGACCGCAGCATCTAAAAGACAGTAGTTATCGCGAGAAGACTAGGAAAAGACATCTGAACAAAATCAAAAGAAAAAATAGAAAAAAGAATACAGCTACGTTGCTGACGAGCTACAATGAAACTTACCTACACAATACCTCACCCACTACGAAGCAGCAGTGAGAGCCAGCGTCATGCACTCCATCACGCCCCGCACCACCTCGGCGCGTAAACCCTCCACATCGAGAAAACTGTCGTCATCTCTCGGCATGGTAGTGCTCGGTTTCGAGTACTTCACTTTCGCGGACAGCACGGCACTGTCCTGACGGTTTAAGTACTGCGTACACGTCGTCTCAATCGAGGGCAGCTCCTTTCCGCTGGAGTAGTGAAGCCCGACTGTGAAGGCAGCTGATGACTCGCTGTCGACAGCACAAAACACCGCCGTTCTGCACGTAGGGGGCGTCTGCGGGATATCCGAACGCATGACGGCCTTGCAGCTCACACAAAGATCGATGGGACCCCCAAGATCGGCTCCCAGACCAAGCATTAACTTCAGAAAGTGCAACGGTTCGCGAATGCGACGATAGAGCGCCTCCTCTAGCTGCGGCAGGTGATCGATGAAGCCGCCCCCCTCGTGCGTTAACTTCAGCTTCGGCAGCCCGTTCAAATCCACACAACTTTTCAAAAACGGCACTAAAGACTGGTTGTTGCTGTCGGCCGCCGCAGAGCCATCTGCAATTCGCAGTTCCACATCTTCTGACAGCACCGTAAGTTTGCCCGTCGGCGGAATCACTCGAATGCACACGTGCAGGTCCGTCTCCACCGCAGAAACTTGATAGCTCGTCCTCCACACGCGATGCGAAAACTTGCAATAGAGGACCGCCACGTTGTTCAGCGCCGCATTGACTTTCTCCGAGCGCTCCAGCAGTAGAGGGATGCGGAGTCGCACAAGGGAGCCGCCGCCGCCCTCCACGGCAGCCAACACGAGTCCTTGCACACGTCGCGTGCCGGGACCTCCCCCCACCCGGCCACCGTCACCACGTCCACCTCCGATACTCCTCAGTGCCGAGTCGTACTCAAAATGCAGAGTGGGCGAGGCACCTCGCAGCAACTCCGGCAGGTGCGTCTGACTGCGGCACACGATGCACGCCTCCATCCACTGCAGCAACTGCGCTTGGCGATCGCCCACCGACTGCCCGCGAATGCGTTGCGGCCGGGGCAGCGCCGTCAAGAAGGTGTAGTCCACCGCCTCTCTCTTGTCCGTCCCAGCGCACGCAGCGAGGTCGCAGAGGACACAATCCAGGTCCGTCTCCCCGTCACGCCAGGCAGCGTCGCTCGCCTGCCGACGGATGGCGGCGTCCGCCGTGGGGGAGGCCAGCAGCAGCGTGCGGGTGTGCGTGACGAACCAAGATACTCCGTACACAGGGGTCCCCAGCACACACACATCGGCCTCCCGCACAAGAGCCATGGCGGCCGCGGTTCCACTACTTTAAATGGACTCCGCGAACTGGGCAATGCGGCGAAGCACAGCCAGCCCCGCGACAGCTTGCGAGGGTGGACTCCGCTGCGCACTGACGCCGCTCGCTTCGGCGGTGACCGCTGCGAGGGCAAAGAGGAGCAACGAGAAATTCGCGCACCCGAGCAGGGACACGCGCAAGGACTGAGCAGAAACGCAACAGCTGCAGAGGAAGACAGGCACAGCAGAGGAGAGGTGGAAGCGGCGTTCGTTCATTTCAAGTCGCGCAACACTCTCCAGCACCGATGTAAAGCGCCAAAGCGGGAGAGATGAGCAACCGACAAAGAGGCGCTCGCAGCGTTTACCCGGGCTGCACTCCGCAGCACGCGGCAAAACCGACGCTCCGTAAACTGACGCCAAAACAGCTGACTTCAGTCGCCCGTATGCAGGCGGATCGCAGCGTACGCACTGGTGGGTGCGCACAGACGGCGAGGCAACACCTTCGCCACCATTGGGGGCAGCGGTGGCGGTGACTCTCTCCTAGCCGTGCAAGGCGCGGAAAGGAGGAAGGTGAGGAAGACGCGGGGAGCAGCGCCGCTTCATTCTTTGGAAAAGGAATAGGAAAGCGCACTCGAGGTGCTTCAACAAGGTAAGAACGTATCGCCTGAAGCCGTGCGCCTCCATTCGCAGAAGAGGCGAAACCCGAATAGGGCCGGTCCCACACTCGCCTCCGATTTCGTCAGCGCGCTAACACGGCGGCCAACATCATCGGAGCACCTCAGGGCTACGCCGTCTGAGACCTGGCTTCGTGGTTGCCGCTGCCCCCCCCCCCTCCCCCAGTCGCTTACAGGAATAAAGGTGAAACTTCACACAGTCCGTGTCCGCGTTCTCGGCTCGGGTCTTTAGTGGCGTGCCAACAGCCTGCACCTCGCTGAGTCACCAAGAAAGCGCGCAACGTGCATCGCCGCCGGGCGTAGCAAGCCACAGAGCAGGAAGCCCCGCTACACGCACGAAAGCGACGGAAAAGGGCTGCGGCGGCTAAACGACAAAGGGGCCGGGGCGTGCGCCTGGGTCCACAGCGAACCACCAAAACTGGGAAGAAACAAACGGAGGACAGTCCGGGGAGTCCGTCGTGCTCTTCCACTCCTCGCCGCCACCCGCGCGCATCACGTCCTCCCGTGCTCCCAGTCACTGAAGCCGTCGGTGCGCAGGGGGGAGCGGAGCAGCAGCGGAGCCAGCTGCGGCGCAACAGCAACCAGGACACGCCGCACCGCAGCAGATAGGGGACACCTGGGAGGAGAACAGCAGCTGCCGAGTCCGACTGCAGCGACGATCGTGGCGCAAACCACACAGGGAGCAGCAGAGAAAAAAAGATGCGAGCGCGGCGACGGCGAGTTCTTGCGCAAACATCCGAAACGCCAGTCGAGGGAGGAGAAAGAAGCCACAAAGGTCACCGCGCAACACCACCCAACCTCAGTACTCGCCACTATTTAAAACAGCCGGCGCCGGCCGCCACACCCTGCACACCCCAGCAACACAACCGGACCGCATGAAACGGTCGCTCTTGCAAAAGCACTCGCCAGCCGTTGCGCCCGCAAACAAACAGCAAGGAGGATAATACGGCGGCGCAAAACATAGCACCGCAGCGCGCAACCCCAAAACAGCGGAGAAGGGAGAGCGCGCAGAGAGCCACAGCGCACGCGCCGTAAAGCGGGGAGGCGGTGCGAGACGAACACCTGACGCGCGAGAGTGCGTGTGTGGGCGAAAGAAAGGAAATCAGGAGAGCAGCGGCTCATGCCGGGCACACAGGCGGACGAGTCGATGCAGAACCAACGCCATTTCGTCTGCTTCTCCCTCGCCACGCAAACGCCAGGGCGAGGGCCGAGCGGAGCCTCGGAACGCACGCAAACAAACGACACGCTGCGAAGCGAAGGGGTGGGGCGGCACCGGCGCGTCGCGAAGCACCACCCCGAACCCACCACGGGAACCGTCTGCGGTCGCGCAGTAAAACGCGGCCCATCCGCCACAGCTGCGGCAGCGGGCGCACGACCTTTGCAGACAGCACGGAGCCCAGACAGGACGTCGGCTCATCCACCAGCAGAATCTTCGGTGCCACGATCAGCTCCACGCTGATGTTGCAGCGCTTCCGCTCGCCACCGAACAGACAGGCCTCCAGACCGCCAATACAGACCTGCGTGTCGCGGCAGTGTTGCAGGCGCAGCACCCCCGGCGCCTCCCGCACACGCGCCGCCGCACAGCAGCGCAAAAAGTCAAAGCACCGCACCTCCGCCTGCCCCGAAGGCGGCAGCGCAGGCAAAGTCAGCTGTCGCCGTACTTTATCGCAACGCGCAAACGCACCTTCGCGTCCTAAGGTGGGACGGTCCGCTTCATGTTACAGCGGAGAGAAGAGAGAAAGGAAGGAAGGAAGGAAAGAGAGGAGAGGAGAGTGAACGGCGCCATCATTCAAAACGCGAGCGCACCCGGCATCCAGCGCAGGGAAACCCGCCCAGCACACCATCATCCCTTCGAGCCTCGTCGCCACAAACGGCGCACCGTGGATGGTGCAGAGAGGGCAGCCAGCGGCACCCTCCATCCACACCACGCCGCACCGCGACACGCTCGTGATGCCGTCGCGGCTCCGACGGCACAGCACGGTCGAGGGACACAAGGCACAGGCGCAGCGGAGTGCGCCGACGGGCGTCGTGTCGGCAGTGAGAAATTCGGAAGGGAGAAGGAACCTACGTGTGGAACCATATAGAAATAGAAATAGAAATAAAAAGTCTCGAAAACAAGAGGGGGGCGGAGGGCCAACACACGCGCACGGGAAGCCAGCGGCCCAGCGCAGACGAGCAGCCGGTCGTGAGAGACGCAACGCTCGCTCCGCAAGCCGCGAAAATGAAGTCAAGCACAGGTGCACCGACGTGCCTGTGCAACGCGCATGAGGAACCCTCGCCCACACCTCCGCCACATCGATAACCGGGCTGCCACGGCGCGGGGGTCGCCCACTCCCGCAAACAGGTGCCACAGTGCGGCGCAGTCCGAGACACAAGAAACAGAATCAGGAAACAAAGGAGTAAAGAAAACTTTGGCCAACGACCGTCGCACTCGCAGAAGCCAGTGCGGCTGCTCGCTTTAAAGAAAAAGGAAAGGTTGTGAGACGCTGCTATCTACGTTGTTGATTCAGCGCAGGTCGTGCACCAGGCAGCGCCTCTGTGTCGTCAGCCATCGACTGCGCTCCCGCACGTGGAGCAAGCACAAAGAGGCGTGTGTGCTCATGTTCACGGCTGCGCGCAGGGCAGCGTCGCTCAGTTCCCCAGCTTCACATTCATTCCGCGAGGGCCCTTAAAGAAAAACCGGCAGCAAAGACGGTGCCTTACAGAAAACTAGAAAAGCACGCACGTACCTGTGCAGGATATAAGAAAAATACAACAAAACTAAAAAGAAAGCAGGGCTTCGAGTTAACAATGTTTGAACAAAGCATGAATAAGAGACCCCGCGGTCAAGAATACGGAAAAGAAGACAAACGAGAGGGAAGACGCGTGTATATAATCGCGTTCGCTATATTCAATCTGCGTGGAGTGCATTCTCCGATGCCCTTGGCGGTTGTGCTCAACGACGCGCTCAGCAATGCCTCGCCACACAGGCAGCAGAGTCGCGAGAAACAGGACAATCACAATCAGCGCAAAGGCAAGTGAGGCGGCACTCAGTGAAAACGGCAGTGAACACAGAAATAGTGAAAAAAAAAGAAAATAAAAACGCTGAACGGCTGAGCTGCGAGCAGCGGACGTCTGCACATGTGTGGGTGGGTGGGTTTGTCTCGCAGGAGGGAACATAAGTAGCCTGGAAAATGACACCGACGAGAGGAGTGTGAACTCTGTCGCTCCCTGCTCCCCACACGGCGGCTTCTCTCGGTGGCTCCACACGCACACACGCAGAGACATCTCACGGACGCATATTCAGAGGCGGCCACGTCAACCACGGCCCCAGCAACGCAGACAAACTCGTGCAACCACTCCATGGGCACATGCCGTTCAGCCATATCCACGCAGAGACGCCGGCGCCAATTGAAAGAGAGAAGAAATCTACTTTTTAGCAAAAGAGAAAAAGCGGGCGGTCGCGTGAAGAGCGGCAGAAGAAAAAATGATTAATTGGCAAAGGCACTTAAACACTCCACTTCACAGAGGAATAAATAGAAAAGTCTAGCTCAGCTGAGCCTCGTTAGAGAATCAAAATCGTTGTCGCGTGCGTTCACCGTCTCCGCCCCTCGGCAGCACGTCGAGGTCAGCGGGAGGAACGGTGAGAAAAAAAAAAGAAATGAAAAGGGGGAGAGAGAACAATCAAAAAGAATTAACGCGGTCACGCGCATGCGCACCCCCCGCTGTTCCGCAGACGCGACAGCGGCAACGGTGGCGCCTCGCCAGCGACCTTTAATACTGCGAGTCAGGCATCTTCGAAAAAGGCTGCATCTCCGCTTCTTGCACGGCCTGGAATCGACTCACCTCTCTCGCACGCTGACGCCGGCGGTAGAAGCGCACGCCAAAGCTAACTGCAAGTCCCACCAAGAGCCCACCCACAGCACCCAGCACGCACCACAGTGGGATCAGGATCCATCCAGTCTTCTTCGGCGGGGCTGATGTGCTCGACGCCGCGGGGCACGCATTCGCGCTCGCGCAGTCCCGCGCAGTCAACGCGGCATCCGCAGCCACCGTCTTCGACTTCCACCCCTCGGGCAGGCACCCGCACAGGCCCGTCCCCTTCAGGTCGACGCTCACCAGCTTCGTCATGCCACCCCAACTATCAGGCACGCCACCGGACAGCGCGTTGCCGCTCACGTTCAGGCTGCGCAGCGACGTCATCTCGCTCCAGGCAGACGGCAGCGTGCCGGTGATGGCGTTGCTCTGCACGCGCACCGTCTGCAGACGCGCCAGGCGGCCCCAGCTCGCAGGCAGCGTCCCCGCGACCCGCGAGCCCTTACCGTACACGCTCAACTCCGTCACCGCAACCTGCTGCCCGTCCACGTCCGCCGCGAGCTCAGGCAGTCGCACGGTCGCCGTCGACGTTACAGTCTTCATCAACGCGGCGACCTTCGTCCGTGACACAGCTGTCGCCAGCGGCAGCGGTGACAGGTCCAGCTGCACCGCACCGTCCGCAGAGCACTTCACGTACGCCCAGTCGCAGTAGCTGCTCCCGGTCCACCGCATCGCCAGACTCGGGTCCATCGTTGAGAACGCCTGCAGGAACTTCAAGGTGTTTCGCTGCTCCTGCGTCGGCGCAGCGGTGGTCGTCGTGGTCGTGTTGTGCACGTCGCACGCGTTCTTATCGCTGCAGTTGGACGCAGACACCGCGGCATCCACGGTAATGTCAATGTTGTAAGTTTTCTTCGACCAACCATCGGGGAGGCATCCGCACAGATGGTTCCTGCTCAGATCAGCAGTGAAGTACGTCCACTGGGCTGCCCATTCTCGAGGGATCGAACCTGTAAATTGATTTGCTGCGAGGTATAGAGACCGCAGGAACTCCACGGAGGCCCACGCCGCAGGCAGCGCGCCAGAGAGGGCGTTGCTCGAAAGGTTGAGTGCATTTAAGCCGGACATCGTCTTCCACTCTGCCGGTAGTGTGCCGGTCAACGCATTGCTCGAAAGCCGAAGCTCGCGAAGCTTAGACAAGAACCTCCATTGGCCGGGAAGGCTGCCCTCAAGGCGGTTGCTGCTCAGGTACAGTTCCTGCAGCGCAGCCAACCCGCTCCAAGCACCAGGCAGCGAGCCTGTCAGCGAGTTGTTCTGAAGGTACAAGTACTTCAGCATCGTCATGTTGGCCCAGTCCGCGGGAAGAACCCCTTCAATACGATTGTCCTCCATGTGAAGCGTCTGCAGCGCAGACATCCCGCTCCAGTCCGCAGGCAGCGGTCCCGTAAGTGCGTTGCCTTTCACGTCCAGCTTCGTCAGGTGGGTCAGGCGGCCCCAGCTCGCGGGCAGGGAGCCCGTAACCTGTTGGCCAAACCCACTCACGTCAATCTCATCGAAGATCACGGCGGAGCCGTTCACGTCCGCACCCAGCTCAGGCAGGACCAGCGCTCCGGTAAACGCCGGCGCGCTGTAGGCGTTGAAGTTAAGCACGTTCGAGTAAGAGGTGCACTGCACGTACGGCCATTCACAATAGTAGATGCCGGTCCACCTGCTCGCAAGAAACGGGTTTTTGGCCGCAAAGCCACGCAGGAACTTCAGCGTGCTCTTCTCCTCCTCCGTCATCCCCGCCATGCTGTCAGAGCTGCCGCTGCCGTCGACACACCTGTTTGCGGTGCGGCACTTCGTTGATGTCACCGCGTCATCGGCTCGGACGTACGGACGATATCCCCCCTTCCAGGCGCTCGGCACGCACCCGCAGAAGTCGTTGTCCGACAGGTAGATGTCCTGCAGTGACTTCATGTTGCTCCATCCTTCAGGGATCGCGCCAGCCAGCTGGTTGTTGTTCAGCCGCAACTCGGTCAAGGTCGGCATCGAGGCCCATTCGACGGGCAGCGTGCCCGAGAGGACATTCGCGGCCAGGTTGAGAGTGTAAAGCTTCGTCATGGTGCTCCAGTTCGCAGGCAGTGACCCTGTCAGTGCGTTGCCGTTGAGTACCAGCTCCCTCAGCGTCGTCAAGCGGCCCCAGCTCGCAGGCAGCGCGCCCGTCACGCGCGCACCCTTGTCGTACAGCTCGAAACTCGTCACGTCCACAAGGCTGCCGTCGATGTGCGTCGTCAGCTCCGGCAGCTGCGCCGGGCCGGAGACCGTGACGTCGCTCAGCGCGACAGACACCAACCCGTCAGACCCGCACTTCACGTTCCACCAGCCGCAGTACCACACGCCACTCCAGAGGCTCTGCAGCTCCCCGCCCACAGCAGCCCGCACCAGCCGCAGGAACTTCAGCGTGTTCTGCTCGTTCGCCGTCAGCAACGCGCTCGCCTCGGAGTCGTCCGGCGCGGAGGCCGAGTCAGCACTGTGCGGCTCGCACGGGTTTGCAGTGGTACAGTTGTCAGCGGACACATCAGGATCCACAGTGGGGAGATAATAACTGTTCTTCAGCTTGGTAGGAATGCATCCGCACAGCTCGTTGTTGCTCAGCACCAATGTATACACTCGCAGCTCGCCCCACCGCTCAGGGATCGAGCCCGTTAGCTGGTTATTGGACAGATCCAGAGACCACAGCGCCGTCAACGCCACCCACGCCGCAGGCAGCGGTCCCGTAAGGATGTTGTCGTTTAGGTACAGAGTACTCAGTGAAGTCAAGCGGAACCACGCAGCAGGCAGCGTGCCGGACAGCGTGTTCTTGTCTAGCCGCAACGTCATCAGCTCCGACAAGAACCTCCACTGGCCGGGAAGGCTGCCCTCAAGGCGGTTGCTGTTCAGGTACAGTGACTCCAGCGCAGCCATCCCGCCCCAGTCCGCAGGCAGTGACCCGTTCAAGGCGTTGCCGCTCAAGTCCAGACTTGTCAGCGTCGTCAGGCGGCCCCAGCTCGCAGGCAGGGAGCCCGTAACCTGTTGCCCAAACCCACTCAAGTCAATGCCAGTGAAGATCACTTCGGAGCCGTTCACGTCCGCACCCAGCTCAGGCAGCACCAGCGATCCCGTGAACGCCGGCGCAATGTAGTCCATGAAGGTCAGCGTGCCCGAATCATCGTAGCATCTCACGTACGGCCACGTGCAGAAGTCCGTGCCCGTCCAGCTGGTCTCCAGAGTTGAGCCCGCTACTGCAAAGCCCTTCAGGAACGCCAACGTGTTCTTCTGCTGATCCGCGGTGTAGTCGGAGGTGGAGGTCGCGGAGACAAAGAGGGCGTTCACGCACAGCACCAGCAGCGCACCGGCCACCATCATGCGACGCAGCGGGTAGCTGAGACACGCCATGGGTCGCAGTCAGAGAGGTGAGGGAGGAGGTACGGAAGAGGAAGGAAGGGGTCGCCGTGAAAAGCTTCGTACAGCTTGACAGAAACGAGAAAGTCGGTCGTCGCACGTGGGGCTTGCGCTTGTGGAGTGTGCCGCAGTGACGAATGCTGCTGAAACAGCTGATGTATTAAAATTAAACAGAAAAGAGAAAGTGTGTGTTTAGCGAAAAGAGATTATGAAGAGAGGCGTAGTGAAAGAGAAGGCCTTCAAGCTGCGGCGGTCGGCGCCGCGGTGGAGCAGTGCAGGAAGAAAGGGAGGGGAAAAGAGAAGAAGCGCATGGAGCGGCGAGCAAGGCAGCGGACGAGAGAACATTTGTGGCGGCGTGCGTCGGCGTGCACGCAGCAGGCAACGCCGCAGGGCTGCACCACAACCACGCACCCCATCGTGCTACAGAATGAGGTCTCAGTGGAGTTTTCCACCCAAAATGAGAGAAATCGCTCTATTCTGAAATGCGAGGGTCTTGCAGAGGAAGAGACATGTCGAATAAAAAATGTGCTGTCGAAGGACAATCGGGTTTGTGCACTGCACGCGCGACATCGCCGTCACACTGTGCGCGTTGGGGGTGCGAAGCACGTTAAGTTTTTAGCTCATCGGAGAAGTGGGGAACAGCGGCAGCGAGACCGGGAAACACATCTGTGCACAACTGTGTGCCAGTGGTCGGCCGCGAGCGTTCAATATACCGGCCCCTTCTTTGTTATGGGCTGCAAATAATCACTGAAAGTAAAGAAACAGAAAAATGAGAAGGACCCTTCGGAGCTAAAGATGGACGTGCGTCACCTCCGCGCCGTCTGTAGCTCCGCTTTGTGGGCCATCACACGTACCCTTCGGCCCTTGTTGAGCGTAGCTTCACATCTCGTCGAAGACAGTCTCCTGTCATTCACGGAAATGATGTGCATTCCAATGGTAAAACCGACAGGGCAGAATACCTTAGCTCTAAACATCCAAATACGAATGCGCCGTGGCAAGGCGATGGCCCCGCGTTAGTCAAAATGAAAAAGCAATAATAAATTAGATGTATCAGATAAAGCGAACATAAAAGGAAAATATTTTGTCTGGTTAACACGGCACAGGGTGTCCTTGCTGGTTACACAACACAGGCCTTACATATCTCTACTCCTCAGTTTTGGGAAAAACAGTATGAAAATAGAACTAATAGCAAGCAGTAACACCACCACAGAAAAAGGAAAGAGAGAACACTCACCCCTTGGCTCCGCACCACTGTCGCCCATTTTATTCGCTGGTGTTGCTTCGTTGCCCTTTACTGTGGCTTTAAGAAGCCGACCGCCTTCCCCCGGAGGATGCGGCCGGGCTTCGGGTCAAACCAGACTCAATGGAAAACACACGGGTTATCACAAGAAAGACACCGGAGGCGCAGGGCTCGTTCAACGAGAGTCACTATCACGGGCGTGTCAGCGCGCGACCGAAGGCGACAACCGGGCCGGCAGCGAAGAGCTCAGCCGGAATGGGTACAGCGGGTCGAGGTACCCAAACAAGGAAAAACGCACACCGTCCCGGCATACAAGCGCGGCAGGGACAAGAATACCCTCCCTTCCATCGGAGATGTGTCCGGTGTGCCAGCAACCAGCCTTCGTGAGGGGCGCCGGAGGGGCTTAAAGAGAAGAAAAGCGAAGAGATGTGATGCCCGGAGAAAACAAAACGGAAAACAAAACCCAAAGCGGCGCATGCACGGTCGCGGCCTGAACGATATGTTCCAAGCGAAAGCGGGGTGCAGCCAAGGAAATGGGGCACCCGCAGCTCCGCATGCCGGCGGCAAAAAACAGACGGTAAAAAAGGGAATACTCACCGCTGGATAGAAAACAAACAATAGAACGTAATCATTAACAATAGTGAAAATAGCGTCTTTGTGTGTATTAATGAACAGAAATAAAGGAGCGGCATGCTCGCCATGGCAGGGG